TTGACAGCATCAAACCGTGTGCGTGTCTTCTACACTGTTTACTGTAAATCGACAGCCGTATGTCTCTATGTAGATGCGTGGACCGAGAACAACAGACCCGTTAGGTCTGTTGCCTTTCAGGCGAGCAGTTTATAGTCTGTCAGGACTGCTGCTGCGTGTCGTCATTAATGTTTACGGTAGTGCCGCACCATTCTGTTTCTGTTTCAATCTACTTTTGATGCGTGTTTTGTCTGTGGTTTACGGTAGAACAGCTCCATGCTGAAGTCTGCTACTCGTGCTTCATTTTCTCTATTTAAAACATTTGCTTCTTCAGACATGACTCAGCTCAGATTTATCGGTAAAACAAACTCGCTATTTTTTTGTGTGCTAATTTCGTGTGAAAAGACAGAAGTGAACGATCTGTTGTTGTTGTTTAATACTTTTACTAACGTTAGCACAAGGCTAATAATCCAAACGAACTAATGAGAACGGCTGTATTTGATGGTGTTGGACCGTCTGGTCTTTTATCTCTCGTTGAGTTTGTCGTCTTTTCACTGTGTTTGTGTTTGTGCTGTTGTTCATCTATGAATACGTGTAAACTGCTCTGCTGCAGACATCGGTGTGAACCTGACTGACCCCATGTTCAGAGGAATCTACAGAGGGAAGCGGAAACACGACGGTCAGCCTCTCCTGATTGGCTGTGAATCTGTCCAGAAAATCACGTGGTCACTGAACGCACCACGGCTGATTTGTGTTGTTGTTGTCCAGTGTTGTGAATCATTGGCGGTGCTCTGAGGCCAGGTGTGTTTCTCCTCACAGATGACTTCGATCAGGTCGTCGATCGAGCTCTGACAGCGGGAGTGCAGAAGGTCAGCGTTCCCCCTGGGCCGTCGTCATGGTAACACCGTCCCGCCGGTTTGATTTAAAGGCCTTAAAATGTCTTTCTCTGAAGTTTCTGATCACAGGTGGGAGTCTGGACGACAGCCAGGAGGCGCTGAAGCTGGCTCAGACCAGAGGTGAGTGTGAGGTAGCCCACAGCACCACCTGCTGGTGTAAACAGGAGCTCATCGCCCTGCCTCCTCCTCACAGATGAATTCTACTGCACCGTGGGCTGTCACCCGACCCGCTGCTCGGAGTTCGAACAGCTGGGAGAGACCGAGTACATGAGGAGCCTGAAGGAGGTGGCCGCTCAGAACAGAGGGAAGGTGGTCGCCGTCGGGGAGTGTGGACTGGGTCGGTACCACAAGGAATAACAATGATTGTTACTCTTTCTGCCCATCAGGGGGCGCTGAGTATATGGTTAAAACCTGCACTGTGGAACCTGCATGTGTGGAGCAGAGAAGAAGAAAGTAGTACTAAGAAGAAAAGAGTATTTGGAGTATTTGGAGTATTTGCAGTCCACAATCAGAAACATTTTTATTGCCAGGTAGGATTTCACCTACGAGGACTTTGTTGTTGTTTACAGTGCAGCGAAAGAAATGTACATGAAGGTAAACAAATGTTGATGAAATAAATAAAATAAAATAATTTGGCTGGACATTAGTTCTACAGAAACAAACACACTTTACTGTTTTATTTTAATAATCGTTGGTTGATTCTCTCAAAGTACTACTAACCTGGCATTACTGCCCCCTGTTGACCAACCCTGGCTGTTGGCCTGCTCACTCTCACCCGTCTGTCCTCTGTTGTTGACAGATTTTGACAGGATGGAGTTCTGTCCAAAGGAAACTCAGCTGAGGTGAGTGGCCACGGTGTGGAGACCAGGAGCTGCTCCTCACCACCTCCTCTCCTCTGACTCCTCCTCCTCTGTGTGCAGGTTCTTTGAGAAGCAGTTTGACCTGGCAGAGGAGACGCAGCTGCCCATGTTCCTCCACTGCAGGAGCGCTCATCAGGAGTTCATGGGTGAGCAAACAGGAGTACTCTGCTCTGCCTCTATGTCTCCACCTGGTGGTCAGTGAAAATCAACTGGTCTCTGTTGTTTGTGTTTTGACAGAAATCATGAGGAGAAATCGAGATCGTTGTGTCGGAGGAGTGGTAAGAAAAAACTACAGTACTGTGTACCGTGTACTGTACTGTACTGTACTGTACTGACAGCTGTCAAACATCACGTGACCCAGAGCTAAAAGGACGTCTCTGAATTCTTCCTCCAGGTGCACTCCTTCGACGGTACAGCAGAGGACGCCGCTGCCATCGTGGACCTCGACCTTTATATTGGAATAAATGGATGGTAAGAAAAGGGGAGAAATGATTGGTTGGTTCTGTATTCAGAGAAGATCAAATGGACTTTGACGTGACACTGGTTTGTTTCAGCTCTCTGAAAACTGAGGCCAACGTCGAAGCCATGAAGTCCATTCCCACAGAGAGGTTGATGATAGAAACTGGTGGGTGTCCGGACCAGTGGACCAGTGGACCAGTGGACTGTGTGTACACTGGTCCTCAGGCTTCTTCTTCACACATTTATTCATATGTTTCCACAGACGCCCCCTGGTGTGGAGTGAAAAACACTCACGCCGGCTCCAAATACGTCAAAACAACATTTCCTACGAAGAAAAAGTGGGAGGCGGGACATTGTCTGAAGGACAGGAACGAGCCGTGTCACATCCTGTAAGTGTCATGTGACCAAAACGAACAGCTGGTCATCAAACAAAAACTGACCAGCAGTGTGTGTGTGTGTGTGTGTGTGTGATTGTGTGATTGTGTGTGTGTGTGTGTGTGTGTGCTACAGCCAGGTGTTGGAGGTGATGGCAGCAGTGAGGGAGGATACAGCCAGGTGGTGGAGGTGATGGCAGCAGTGAGGGAGGAGGATCCAGTGGAGATGTGTCACAGCATCTACAACAACACCATCAAAGTCTTCTTCAGCTCCAGCCCATGAAGTGTGTGTGTGCGCATAAATGTCTCTGAAACTTGTGAAAATAATAAATGACAAATGTGGTTTGTTTGATCAACACTGAAAATGAACATCTTTGTTAAATATTTTTCTGACCTCAGTTTGACTCGGCACTGATTCAGTGTTTTTATATAGATGACGTCACCCCCATGTACTCTAAAAACATTCGATAGAATTCACCGTCCAACAGTTTGGATACACGATCCCAGAATCCTCTGCGGCACCGAAACACAGCAGAGGAAAGCGAAGAAGAGCGAGAGGGTAAATCGGCGGTCATGGCGTCTGCCTTCCTCACTCATCGGCAGAAAGTTCTGCGGCTCTACAAGAGATCCCTGAGACACGTTGAGTCGTGGGCCGTCCACAGGTACGGCCTGCCCGCCAACAAACAAGCGAAAAAGAAAAAGAAACCGACGTGGCGGCTTTTGCTCAGTGGGCTAACAGCTAAGCTATCAGATAAGCTAACTGCTAAGCTAACAGCTAAACAGGTCACTCATTCACAAAGTCACGGAAATCAAACATTTCCAATTTATTATTATTATTATTATTATTATTTCTAACAGAGCTCCATCATCGAAAACAACGCTGAGATAGTCTTGAATAAAGTGTTTTAAAATGATACAATTACTAAGTGAGATCGTTGTTGCTAAGGCCGAGGTCGACGGTGGATCTGTCAGCACTGATGTTTGAAAAGAAAATAAATGAGGAAAACAAGGATTATTAGTTCTGTCTCTGTTGTTAATGCGTTTACATTCTGTCAATATTTTCAGTATTTCTTTATACATACTGACTAAGTCATTGGGTTCTTGACCAATTATATCAGTTATGTCATGTTAAGTCAGTGGAGAAAACAAACAAATGTGATGTCGGCAGCAGTGGATCCAAAACTGTGATTTAAGAACTTCATGTTGGCAGCTTGGTTGTGCAGAAACCCCAGCACCATCTTCTCCTTCTGCTTCTGCTCTGTCACAGGGACAAGTATCGGTACTTTGCCTGCATGCTGCGCGCTCGCTTTGAGGAGAACAAGAATGAGAAGGACATGTTGAAGGCCACCCAGCTGCTGAAGGCAGGAGAGGAGGAGTTTTGGGACAAGCAGCATCCTCAGCCCTACATCTTCCCCGACTCTCCTGGAGGAACCTCCTACGAGAGATACGAGTGCTACAAGGTGACGAGGCTGAGCTTCCTACATCAGTGTTATTTTTTTATTTTCAAAAAACTCTCAAATGGGTTCATACAATTGAACAAAAACCAGGTTTGATGAGGTCAATCTGAATTCCCAACATGTTTTGCGTTCAGTTACCAGAGTGGGTTCTGGATTACTGGCATCCCTCAGAAAAGGCCCAGTACCCAGACTACTTTGCTAAAAGAGAGCAGTGGAAGAAACTGAGGCTCCAGACCTGGAGCCGAGAGGTGAGACACACACACACACACACACACACACACACACACCGATTTCTGAATTGTAATGAAAGTGGGATAAATGTAAAATTTTCACTAATAAAAAAAGTTAGTGTGACAGATTCACCACACTTTCTTAAGAAACAGGTTTCCTGTTATAAATCCACATGGTTATTTGAAGCAGCAGGTTAGGGTGATAAAGGAGAGATGACTCCAGCAGGGGGCCCCAGGACCGAGGCCCTTCCTCCTGCTCGTAAGGAGGGTGATCTGCCCCCCATGTGGTGGCAGTTTGTCACCCGCCCGAAACAGTGCCCCTAAGAAACACGAAGCCATGAATAGCCAGGCTACCACATGGCCACGCCCACTCTGTGATGTCATCAGGAGTGACAGAACCTGTACATGAATCATTCTGTAATTAACAAGTATTTAATAAATATGAAAAAACTGTTGAAGTTTTACATCATTATCTTTAAATGTTGACCTTTGACCTCAATGGTCCAACAGTGATTTATCCAAAGCCCATGGAGAAAATCAGTAATTTTAGTTCGGACCAAAATTAATTTATTCTGCTTCTGCTCATCATCTGTGGATGTTTTTTTATTTTTTGTTATTTTTACTAGAACATTGTCTTCTTGTCTAATCATGTGTTTTTATTGCTAACAACAGTAGCAGTCGCTCAGATCTAGTTATATTCATCATCGTTAACAACAGTCTCAGACCAGGGTCGTCCTCCAGCAGGTGTCGCTGCAGCTGTCTGACGTCTTTCCAGTTCTTGGCAGCTGTTATAAGATGGAAAAACAATTTTGCTCCAAGCGCAGCGTCAGTTCTTCCCACTCTCAGGTTCCCAGCTGCAGAGGTCCGTGACGGTTCTGCTGATTTAGAACAAAAGCAGCAGAGAAACCGGAGGTGCTGTGAAGTCGTCTGCTCCTCCCTCTGACCTTCAGTCAGTAAACCAGGGAGAATCGCTACCGCCCTGAACCCAGGGTTCAGGGCCCCTGGACCCTCCCTGTGTCTGATCAGCACAAAAGAGTCTGAACCGCGTTCATCAACAGCCATGAAACCAGTGTGAAAACCAATCAGTGAGAGAGCTGACCACACATGACCACACCTGACCACACCTGACCACACCCGACCACACACGACCACACCTGACCACACATGACGACACCTGACCACACCTGACCACACCCGACCACACCTGACGACACCTGACGACACCTGACGACACATGACCACACCTGACCACACCCGACCACACCTGACGACACCTGACCACACATGACGACACCTGACCACACCTGACCACACCCGACCACACCTGACGACACCTGACCACACATGACCACACATGACCACACCTGACCACACATGACCACACATGACCACTGTGAGAGGTCACTGTGAGAGGTCACTGTGAGAGGTCACTGTGAGAGGTCACTGTGAGAGGTCACTGTGAGAGGTCACTGTGAGAGGTCACTGTGAGAGGTCACTGTGAGAGGTCACTGTGAGAGGTCACTGTGAGAGGTCACTGTGAGAGGTCACTGTGTGAGGTCACTGTGAGAGGTCGCTGTGTGAGGTCACTGTGAGTGATCAGTGTGAGAGGTCACTGTGAGAGGTCACTGTGAGAGGTCACTGTGAGAGGTCGTGTTCCACTGAGACACAGGACGTTCTGGCTGGGTGGCCCCCCTGGGTGGCCCCCCCCCTCCCCTCCCCTCGCC